CTCGATCTTCCACAGTGTATCAGTGAGACGTTGGCCCATTCTAGACTCCAATATCTACAGCTTTTACCCCTTCAATCAAGGTGGCAACTCTGTTGTATCCTTTATGTCATCAATCATTGCCAATCTAATGGATGTTTTACATGGGTAGGCGGTTAATATACACCTCCACAATCGGTCCTTCTAGATTTCCATCGATCACCATTTGCATAGTCACTCCTAGCCCAGACGTAGTCTGATCATTAAGGAGATCGTTGTGCGGCACGCTAATACGCCGTGCGAAAATTCTCGCATTTTAAGTATCAATATTGCGACTACAAGTGCCGATATTGTATCTTTTAAGGGGAATATAAGGACTGTAGTGAGCCCTGAGCTGTCAGTCAAAGTGCGATATAGCTACTAAAGCTAGATATGGTGAAATGACTTCGGATTATTATTGATTCAAAGTTATTATGGCCTATGCTAGTCTCGAGATTGTAAAAACCTTCGATAATGACTTGGGACTGATGTTGGTAACTACCGATATCGGGAGGAACAGCATATCGGACGCTCGACTTGTATATATTGTCACGATCCTAAGGGAAGGGGAAATGTTACAAACAGGAATTGAACCTTCGGCTTGATGCTGAGTTGCCACAAAGTGCGCCACATAACGATCTACTTACTGATCACAGACTACGTCTGGGCTAGGAGTAACTATGCAAATTGTGATCGATGGAAATCTAGAAGGACCGATCGTGGAGGTGTATAATAACCGCCTACCCATGTAAAACATCCATTAGATTGGCAATGATTGACAACATAAAGGGTACAACCGAGTTGCCACCTTGATCGAGGGGTAAAAGCTGTAGATATTGGAGTCTAGAATGGATCGACGTCTTACTGATACACTGCAGAAGATCGAGAATATCATAACTCAGGCGCAAAGCTGTAGAACGGGCGACTGCAAGTTCCGATATCGTGACCCAAAGAATCAAATGTGAAGAACGGTTGAACGGTTGCGATCGAGTACGATTGACTACAACGTAGAGAGCGAATATTCTGAAACAATGTAGTATTATACACGGACCGAGTACTATATCGAGTAGGACTATACCCAGTTTTGGTACTAGCGCATGGACAAGGACATTTAAATAGTTTCTTTTATTATATATTTGTCAGACTCTCAAGTTTAATAGTTTCTTATTTACAGTAGTATAAATAGGGTTCAGGGTTGGCATTGAGAAGGTAGATTAGTACTGAGGACACGCAGCTGTGATATTGGTCTCTCTTCAGATATAAAGGATCCGGCTTGATCATACCAGTTGTAGCTCCAAGAACATCTAAACAAAGATGTACTATTTCCCAGAAGATCCAAACAAGCATTAAAAAATGATGCAAGCAATTTTCTAGATGTCTTTTGAATGATGAACTTCAATGTCTGATTATTCTTTACATATCTTTGATGGCAAAAAAGATGTACATTTCCAAGGGTGATGCAAATCAAAAAAAAAATGCAAGCAGGTCTCTCTAGGTGTTTTTGAATGATGACTCCAAATTTGAAATGTTGTTATGTCTTAGGATTTTGAAACTTGTCAAAAGGTTTCCATTAGTGATATGGGTGGAAATAGAATCATAGTTATAGGTACTCAGATATTTGTACTAATATCTCCAGAGACTTGTATTTTCATAACAGAGATTAAATTTGAAATCATCTGAGGAGAGATTAGTAATGATTGTACTATTTAACATTCACAGAGAGATGTATCTCTACCCCAGAGATCAACATTGAAAACATTTGGAATGAGAGATTGTAAATGAGAGGGATTGAAGATTCTTAGTCCATCTACTACAGATATATATCAGATACTGCACAAGTGCATACCAAGAATCATTTTCCCTTGAGTAGTCTACAACATATCGAGACACAAAGAGAATATATCTACATTTAGGCATCCTGATAACATACTTGATGTTCTATGTTATCTGAATCAAATTTTTTGTGACCAGTAATCTAAAGATATCATGACAACTGCATGATAAAAATCATTCTCTAACCTGAATTAGTCTGTCCAATCCAGATTTGCATGTCCCTAGGATAAGGACATCTCTCTATCTGATTATTTCAATTCCCCATCCAGAAATACCACCATGAACCTACTTACATGTTAAATCTTCATGTACATCTCCATAAAAAAGTGCATCTTTCTGCTTACAGCCTGATTGAGCAGCAAGCTATCAGTATGTCAAAACAGTAAGAGATATGGCAACAGAAGTCAAAGCTTCAAATTTTCCATTTAGTAATACATCTATACATCTGCTTACATAAAATTTCACTGCACACTGACATCCCCCTAGGGAAAAGTACATCTTTCTGTGTGATTGAGCAGTAATTTGCTAATATCTCAAAAGCCACAAGATAGGTCACAAAGATATGTTGAAATTCAAATTCCTCATCCCAAAAATACCTCTGAAAATCTGCTGACATACTTTTTCAATCCTCATTGGCATCTATCTCCTGAGACAAAATTACATCTTTCTCATTAATTGAGCAGTAAATTGCTGGTATCTCAAACCCCATAAAGATATTACAGAAACATATTCAAGCTCAGAAGGCCCACCCAAAAATATGCCTAGAAACCTGCTTACATAAAATTTCACTCCTCATTGGCACTCCCTGGGAAAAAAGTACACCTTTCTGCTTTTTTGAGCAATAATTGGCCAATATCTCACTGACCATGAGGGATATGACAAAACTGATTGGGAATTTGAATCCCATACCCAAAATTACCTCTATGCACTTGCTTACATAAATTTTCACTCCTCATTGGCATCCCCTGGGAAAAAAGTACATCTTTCTGTCTTTTTGGGCAATAATTTGCTGATATCTCACTGTCCATGAGAGAGATGACAAATCTGATTGGAAATTCAAATTCCCCACCCAAAACTACTCCTATCGACCTGCTTACATAATTTTTCAATCTTTGTTGGCATCCCCTGGGAAAAAAGTACATCTTTCTGTCTTTTTGAGCAATAATTTGCCAATATCTCACTAACCGTGAAAGATATGACAAATCCAATTGGAAATTCGGATTCCCCACCCAAAAATACCCCTATAAACCTGCTTACATAAATTTTCAATCTTCATTGGCATCCCCTGGGAAAAAAGTACATCTTTCTCCCTTTTTGAGCAAAAACTGCTAATATCTCACTAACTGTGAAAGATATGACAAATCTGATTGAAAATTCAGATTCCTCATCCAAAAATACCCCTATAAACCTGCTTACATAAATTTCCAATCCTCATTGGCATCCCCTGGGAAAAAAATACATCTTTCTGTCTTTTTGGGCAATAATTTGCCAATATCTCACTAACCGTGAGAGATATGACAAATCTGATTGGAAATTCGGATTCCTCACCCAAAACTACCCCTATACACCAACTTACATAATTTTTTGTGTTTTCATTGCCGGCTCCCGGCGAGTTTTTCTCTTCAGCCACAGCCCCTATCCAAAAATGGACTTCAGATCCAACATCACGTGATAAATATCTACCAGATTACCCGAGACACCCTGATCTTATCTCCCCTATATCAGGTTTTACCTAAATCATCCCTGTCAGCCACTGTAGCCATCACATGTCATGTCGGAGTGGTGCCGGATATTTGGTTTGTACCTAAGGTGCCGAGAATGCCGCCTGGTCACTCTATGTCACTCTATGTCACCCATTGGCCCTTAAGCGCACTCACGTCTACACTTGCAATTGTCATGTGGTCATTATGACGTGTACAATTAGAAGTGTACCCCTGCATCTGGTGCTATTTGCAACTATTCGCAGATCGTTGATCACTTCTTACTATATTTCCTGTTCTACCGTGATCACGACAGGTCCTATGTGGTCGTGATCCCTCTGGTGCAGTGGCCAATGGCTAAAGCACCTCTTTGACAGTTAGATCGATCATACTCCTTACTTTACAGTATATAAACGGTAGTGTACACTGTAGATTCCTTACTCTAGTCTGGTTAATAACTCAGGGACTTATTCTCGCGATTCTCAAACTTCTCTCGTTGATGACTTACTCGCGACTCGTGGAATCTAGGTCTTGACAAAGTCTGACGAGCAACTTGCAGATGGTAAAACTTTTGTGGGCATCAGTCCTCTTCCTGCTCATAGAAGCTCAGAGCCATTGCCGTTGCCAACGAAAGAGTCTCATTTCACCAAGCCGTCTTTATCCACTTAAGGATCATCTACCAAGGGCAAGGAAGCTATGAAGGGTACTAGTTCACTTGCAGGAACAAGCACATCAACTTCGTCAACAACGAAGGCGTTACTTGCAAGGCCCACCGATAAGCAGTCCATTCCCAAAGTGAGTGGAGAGCCTTCTCAACAAAGCACCTGTGAACCAGCACTCCCACTCTCGTGGTCATGTCCATACCTTCATCCGTCCATGGCCCTCTCAATCTCAAGACTCCTTTTATACTGTGGATCATGATCCTAGCACTCTGGGGGAAGGCCCAAAACCAGCACTCATTGGTCCAAACGACCTTCAACATCATCTTCTAACACTTTGCATAACCCAAATTTTTGTACACAAGAAATGTGACAAGAAAAGTATCAAGAAATATCCTTTGTGCCACTCAAGAAATAATATATTTCCTGTGAGGTAAACAAAGAATAACATCAGGTAATTTGTTTCTTGGACAGGAAATACATTGTTTCTTGGAAAGATATGTTTCCTGTACACGGAATAATAAGTATCCTGGGAAAATGTGTTTCCTGGACAAGAAATACATTGTTTTCTGAGTGGTAAACTCCATCTTTCCCAATGCCTTTCTATTCACATTTCTATTGCAGCAAAATTTGACCTCTGCAAAGTGTAAGTAGGCCTGTAGTATCTCCTCTTGGGCTATATAAATTTGTATCTCCTCTTGTATCTCCTAGTATATGTAAATAAAATGGTCATATTATGTATACTTGATATCGAACAAAGAACAGAAAGAATGAGTGACATTTCAAGGTTGTGTGATCAAAAAAATTGAATCGAACAAGCGACCTCAAGGATATACACCTTGTGCGGGACCACTCTGCTAACTTGACCATACAACTAAGAAATCATTAAGTATGTGTTACATCAAAGACGTAGGCATACTCAGATTGATTTTCTTTAAAACCCGAGTATGCCAATACAGTGTCTTAACAATATGTTTATTACTTACATGGGATGGTGATCTCAGAATAATATGGTGGACCTCAATCCAAGGATAAAGTATATTCAAAAATTTTGGCTAAGATAGTTTCCCACCACATCAATGTCATGTGACTTTAAGAATTATTAACAACAGTGGTACAACGTGTTTTTTTTGTCTATACCATCAACAATGTGTCCCATTCTTTCCCTTTTCTCTCCTTGTGCCACCTCCGCCATGCAATCGTTCCATTGCAGGCGGTAGATGCCGAGAGACTCCACTAGATGGGTGAATTGTGTCCGGACAGCACTTTTCCACCTGTTAATGCAACCTCTCATCAGGGTGCATAGTCCTCCTCTGTGGAGCGGGCAGCTATTGACAGGAACTCCTCCCATTTATGTTAATAGCTCATCCACGCATGTGCTCGGAGGATGGGGAATTTACAGGACTCATTGTTGGTGTTCCATCCATTTTTTTGCCTCACTCTTTGTCGTCTTTTTCTCTTACTCTTTGTCGTCTTTTCTCTGTGGATGTTTTTGTTTTTGTTCACAGGGCTCTGCTGGTGTGTCGCTGTCAACTTTTGATCCGTCAAGTCATTGATTTTGTCTTTTTCTAGGATTATTACCTATCACTCAGTTGTCCCACTTCCTTCCAACCTTTATCACCAGTCATGTCCCATCCATTTTACTCTTTGTCATCTTTTCTCTGCGGATGTTTCTGTTTTTGTTTACAGGGCTCTGCTGGTGCGCCGCTGTCAACTTTTGATCCGTCAAGTTGCTGATCTGATCTCTCTTTCTAGGATTATTACCCATCACTCAGTTGTCTCACCTCCTTCCAACTTTTATCACTGGTCATGTCCCATCCATCTTACTCTTTGTCGTCTTTTCTCTGCGGATGTTTTTGTTTTTATTTACAGAGCTCTGCTGGTATGTCACTGTCGACTTTTGATCTGCCAAGTCGTTGATCTTGTCTCTCTTTCTAGGATTATTACCTATCACTCAGTCGTCCCACCTCCTTCCAAGTTTTATCGTCAGTCGTTCCTTCATCGCATCCTGCACCACTGTTGTTTTACTTAGTCTCATACCACTGTTGTTTCACCCAACTATCCACCAACCCCCAGTCGTCCCATCTCTTTCCAGCTCCACCAACCGTTGACAGTTTATTGTCAGTCATCCTTTTGTCGTGTTCCCTATCATTTCACTTATCTTACACAACCTCCAATCATCCCGTGCTTCTGGCAAATGCTGCCGTGTTACTGTTCCAGGAAGGGAACCTTTGTTCATTTGCTGTCTTAACCCTAATCCAGGAGTTAAGACAGCAAATGAAAAAGGGATCCCTGGGAGGATACGGACCTTTGTGTCTAGGTCAAGATGCTGAATAATTACTGTAATTACTGTTGTATATTAGTATTGATGTATATACATAACTATTACTTTCAAAGTGTTTGATGTCTATTTCGAGTTTACGGAGCTGGTGAATTATGCCATGATGTGAGAATTGTCATAAACGAGGGTGAACAGGTGGTATCCGTGTGTAACTAACGCTTGTCTTTATCCCACCACTGCCCGTTTTCTTTCTCCGTCTCATGGGTTTGGATGCAGAGAAACAATGGCAACAAGAACAGGAAAAACTGTTCAACATGTCTCCAGAGGCTCCTTATGAACCTTTGGTAAGTAGCACTTGAGCTATTCTGTCGCAATGTTGACACAACTCATCAACCAAAAGCTCCTACGTAAATTAACAGTACCAATGCCAATGGCTTATCCCCTGTCGAATGAAGCACCAGAAGCTGTAATGAATCATATGTTCCGAAACATCAAGTGCAAACTTGACTTTGCATAAAAACATATGCAAACCATCCAGAGCCCATGGACCTGGGAACAGCATAGTATAATTGACTAAAGACCAATGCGGCGCAGACAGCTTCTATTGAAGATCTTGACAAGAAGTTTAATAAACAATTTCAAAACATTTCGCCAAACCCATTTACAACCAGATGGAAATCGAAAGACAATCGTACTCTTTTGGTGTATATAGCAACTCAGCATACTTCACCGGCAACTGAGCGTTTGATCCATGAGCAGCCCACCATGGAGGAACTTTGGGCAATGCAACAAGATCAGATTGAAATCAAGGAAAACGGGATACGTGTTAGTGGTCAATCTTTTATGCATCCTGTCAATCTAACTTTTCTTAGTCGAACATTCTTCTTACATTGGCTTGACACTCAAGCTCTAATGGCGGTAAACCAATCAAATCTCTACAAGGTCAACATCTATTATCACTGGAGTGGAGAGGATCCCACCCGGCAGTGGACTTACTATTTCATTCACTATGGCAGTGATGGTAAATCCGTCCCGCTGCTGAACCTAAAGGTACCCTACCCATTGTTGAGGCCTGGCCACAAATGGGCCATCCTCATGAGGTATGTTGCAAGTACATATCGTGAGTTATTGAATGATTTTGCCTCATTCATACTTTTGTAGGCTATGACGCCCTCGACATCTCATTCCACTCAGGCTACTTCACCAATGGCCGTTCAAGAATGGATCACAGCCACCAGATACAGTAATACACTTCTAATTGTGCACGTCATAATGTCAACACGACAATTGCAAGTGTAGACGTAAGTAGCCATGGTGGCTGAACCCCAAAAAGCCCTGAAAAGCCCCTATCTAAAAATGCCCCCCTGGATCCAGACTGTACCCTGCAACTAGCTACTTAGGTGGTTAGGGATGTTAGGGTTAGTGTTAGGGTTAGTGTTAGGGTGTTAGGGTTAGGGTTTAGGGTTAGGGAAGGCTCTAAAAGCAATGTTTATCATGTTGTTTACATTTGTTTACATTTACAGTCTAAATGGCTCATATTAGCTCTGATGACAAATCTGCCTCTTAAACACTGATCAAATAGGTAATTCCAGTCAAAGATTGTGACCTCACCCCAAAAAGGGTAATATAGCATGATGTAAGCCTGTTTTTATTATCTATTTATTTTTAAAATGGCCCTTACGGCTACACTTGCAATTGTCGTGTTGACATTTTAACATGTACAATTAGATGTGTATTACAGCATCAGCTGTCACAGCCTCCAATGAAATTTCTTACACATTGAACAGCATCTTCAAGTGCAAATTTTCAGAAGAATTTGAAAAGTTCAGGGCAGCGCACCACACTGTAAAGTGGTATGCAACTCAAGGCTGATCGCGGTCTATAAGTTGGCCAGGTTATTGTATATAAGCTGCAAAGCTATCCACATATCGATCAAAGTGATGCTTGTCTGACAGCGACTTATGCATTTGGGTCTATTCAGGGTGGCAATATGGAGATATTCGACTTATTAGCCAAATTGAACTATAAGCCGGGTGACATCTTGATCGGATGGACTGATATTTTATTTCACCGTGTGACAGGTTAGACAACAGGTGTTGAAACAAATGAAGTTTTCACCAGCTTTATAAAGACATACGGACTAACCCCTGGGTGATTGATTGTCGTGAGCTTCTTCTCAAAGTGGACTTATGAACAGGTGAAGGATAATGAAGAAAAATGTTGGGATAAGAGGACATTTATGGGAGCCCAAAAGGATGCAATTGAAGAAACAATGGAATTTTATTTGGACATACTTTCTCAATGAATTAATATAAAGTTGTATATGTACACGAATTGATTGAAATCAATGATTTGAATGCCTACACTGGGTGTCAAAAAAACTACTTTTATTTCCAAGATGTTCCACGTCAAATATGCACTTCAGTAATTGAGTCTTGAATGGAGGTACTAAGTACAGACGTTAGAATAAAGTTAGTACACCTGTGATGTACAGAATGTAATCATGAATCACATATGCTGTTTGGGATCACTTAAGAAACAAACCTTCTTCAGTGCGTTCTGTGGAAACCACTGCCTGCGTGCTTTATCTTCTCTTTGCTATTTTTGCCACTCAAGAGTCCTCTGGAGCACATTCTGGCAAGTATCTTGTGACATTACTTCCCTCCATTGCTGTATTAACACTCAATAATCCTTTGGAAAGTGTCTCAAGCTTTGATCTACTTGTCTCTGCCGCTGAGAGTTCAAGTGCTTTATGGAGAGTGTTCCAAGAAACACTGTTGCTTTTTTCCATCGCTGTGCTGTTCAGTTTCGTTCCATAAAATCAAGTACAAGCTATCTACTATCATCAAACAAGCCTCCTACATAATATAGCACCTTACTCACTTTTTCTGTCTACTCTGAGTCACAATGCAGATTTCTTTCTCTCTTTTGCCTAAGGTTTCAAACGAGATACCTAAAAACAAGGTCGACATTGAGAGACATTTGAGCCAAAGTCTCGATGGACTCACATTGAAATTCCCGAGCAAGATTTGCTCCTTCAAGCTCTGTGACTTCACACTCAATGTCTTTGTCACATTTTATGCCAACTAGGATAAATGAAAGATCTTGTGTGTTCATCTTCTTGAGAGTATCATCAAACATCTTGACTTGATTAAATGATCACTTCGAGGTGATACTGTAGACAAGTATAAAGGCTTGCCCTTCTCTGGAAGAGGTTAGGGAAGAATGAAGAGAGATTCAAGATATTTACCAAAGCTATTGGTTGCGGAGAACCACAAAATCTTCTGTGGCTAGATGTCAGGCAAAGGAACAACATCAGATGTGAGACAACCCACTTTGTCTGGTGGTGTCGATCACCTTGACTAAACACAGCCGGCTGTCTACAATGTCGTTTTTCCTGTACGCATCTTTGATTGTGAGATCATATGACTGGAAAGATGTAAGTCTTTACAAACAAAGGTGTATATGAAGGAGGGCGACAACTTACCTCTGTTGACCATAAAAATTAGGCCAAGAGTGGGCTCAAGCAGGCTGATAAAAATACTCACCAACTAATTGACCCATTGTGTACTGAAAACTGAATGGAG